CACAGGTAACATTGGGCTAGACATAAAATCACACACGGTTTCAGTGTAAAATCCCTGTTCATTTTCAAAATAAAAGTAGTGCCACAATGCAATTTCATATATATGAAGCTTACGTCTGACCTAACGGCTCATTTACTTACAGCATTGTTCCAGAAGTGCAGTGGTTTGTTTTTATGGCTTTAATGCTGGCGGTGGAGGGGAACAGCATCACATATGACATCAAACAGCGATATGTATACGTGATTTCCTTCTTTTTGATTTAAGGTTGGATTGCATAAACAAACCGTAACCTTTGAAGTCTCGAGGGATTTTGTGATCTCGCGAGTCGAGTGAGGAGCACGATTAGAAGCCACTTTGCTGTTGAGATTCTCCCGGTGTGCGCTTGAGTGCTGTGATTGCTGCGAGTAAACCGTGTTGCGCCGCTGTTGCTCCCAGTGTGCAGTAAGCGTTAGCATGCAATGGATTTGGGCAGACATATAAATGGGTTGCCTTCAACTAAATCCAAAAGAGGCCCATGTCCGAAAAGATGTACTGGCTCCATTCATACACAAGACCCTTGTGCGTTAACTCTGGTGTAAATGTGAGTTTTCCCTGCCTACACTACCCCAGACATAGCCCACTAAGGCCATGGTGGGCCCAAATGGACATGTCTGCTGGGACATGGCAGGACAAAAGGATGCAAAAAGTGAGTTTTGCATAATATGTCCCCTGTAACAACCAGCAGTTGCCACACTAACTCAAACATGTTACTGAGACATGAAGCAAATGCACCATAACAAATAAACAAAAACATTTTCACCACCTGGAATTACTGACAGTAACCTGCAGGTCAAAGAGAGAGAAGTGGAAATGGGTTGTAAAAGGCAGCAGACAGCTCATAGCCCTTTGTTTTCTCTCATCTTCATAATCAGAAGGTAGCCTGCTGCCGCAGCTGTGCCAATATAGAGTGAATGGGCCTCACGTTATTGTATGGGGTGGCAGTGGTGTGTGGAGTAGGTGGGTGGGTGATTACATTACTCTATAAACCGCTGCGCCTGGGCATCTCCGGCTGCCTCTCTCTGGAAAGGAAAGCAGGGAGACCTTTGAAAACAGAAGGCTTCAGAATTACTAAAATTGGATCAAATTTTGAAAAATGGTTTTCGATTCGACCGCCACGCAACCCCAACTCACCCTGCCTCACTTTCCATTCACTGCCTCTAACTGCTTGATAGTCTGCTCTGCTGGTAAACAACCTGATAATAAAAAAAGAGATTGTAGAAATATGAAATGCAGCATCTTCTGTTGCAGACGTGCATGTCGACAGTGACAACCTGTCATCACTAACTCTGAATGCTCTGAAAACACGTAAAAGGCTCAAAGGTGTTCATGATCTTCTGCTATTTCGTTACTTACAGCTTTTTTCCATGACTTAAACATCTCATCTTCTACAGTCACGGTCTTCATTCATATCAGAACCTGTGGGAACATCAGAACAACCCCATCACACGTGTGCAACACAGCCCGAAGAAACAGAAAAGCTTTTTTCTTTGGATTGTCACAAGTCCGTGCACGAGAAGAAAAGCAGTTTCTTCAGCAGGTTAATTTGTTTAACTTTAGTTTGGAAAGTTTGTTGTTTGAAGGTAAAAAAAAACACATTATTTTCGTTAATTTCATTTTTCCAAGACTTAAAATTTAAAACAAGAAAAAAATCTACGCATGATTTAAAAAGTCCAATGATTGAAACTATCAAAAAGGGTCAGACTGATCAGGAAACAGCTTAAAGGTTTCGGTGCAGACTCTAAAGGAAAAGTTATAGAAATAAATGTATTACACAGTAAAAAATGACCGTGAAATTTACATAAAAACCGTGTAAATACATAACGTAAACTGTAAACTGATAAACACATAGTTTCTGTTGTAATGTTTGAAAAGTCAAAAACAATGTTTATGTAACGTCTACATTCACATTATGTGAAAATAACACATTTATTTGTTAAGACAACAAACAACGGTAATCAATAGAAAAAAGCTGTAATATTTATAACAGAACAAGATTTGAAAAGATTACATCAAAATGTTGTAAAAATTACATTTTATGCCCGTCCTTTTTGAAAATACAGAGATCTGTAAGTCACTTTACAAGTTTAAGCTGTACTTTTAACACAATTGATTAAATTATGCCAATTTTGATTACAGAAATATTTTCAGTTGAAAATATTTATAATTGCATCACGAAACTGAGAAGTTAACATGTGCTGCTGGGATCATGAGGGAGTCAGGACAAATATCAAATTCTCTGACAAATGTCTAATGGATGGCTCCACTGGTAAGGCACCTGACTTACACGTGTAATGGACACATTTGATCTCTCTTACTTACAAACTTACAGTGGGGCCAGAGAAGTTGGTTTTATGACAGCCATAAAAGTTTTTCTTTTTAGCTACAGTTTTGCTTCAAAAGGCAGGAGAAGCATCGTTTACACCCCCGTCTCTTGTAAGCACGGCCCCAAGGTATGGGTCCAGATCACACCTACAGCTAACACTGTAGGGCAGGGGTGTCAAACTCATGTTAGCTCAGGGGGCCACATTGAGGGAAATCTAGTCCCAAGTGGGCCGGACCGGTAAATAAAAAAAACATACTTCAGATTGTTTTCTTTGTTTTAATACAATCAATATAAAACAAGGCTGGAGCCTGAAGACAGTGTATCCAAAATAGTACAAGTACAACACCTGAAGTGTACTTGAAAATTTGAAAAAAATAAAAAAATAAAAAAATCAACAAATAAATAAACATTCCTTAGTGATTCAGAGCTTACAGATCACATGGCTGGATCAGTTTCATGCAGCACTTAAAGTATATTCGACTCATTTTACTTAACATCTTTTAGCTTTCACCAGCACATCAATATCAGAAGTTACATCCTGAGTGGCGGCCAACTTCAGGATGTGATTCAAGTTCTTGTGTGAGCCTTGAGCGCAGCTTTGTTTTATTTATACTCATTACAGAGAAAACTTGCTCACAAAGATACGTTTATTTTCACTCTACATTGTAAAGTATGAAAATAAAGTTCACACAACCATCTCGCGGGCCGGATTTAACCCGCTTGCGGGCCGCATGTTTGACACCCCTGCATGGCCTTCCTTTGTTCCTCCCCGATTGGGTGGTGGTGGTGGGGGTGGGGGTGGGGGGGGGGTGGGGGGTCAAGGGGGATAGAGTGTGGGGACCTCTGCTGAGCAGGACTCACTCCAGAGGCTGCTTTGGGAAGCGCCTCTGTGACTGTCTCCTCATTTCAATAATGACATTAAACCCTTTTGATTGAGTCATGGACGGCTTTCTCAATCTTTTATTAAGTCTCTAAAAGAAATTCCACAACACATGCAGAGGATGTGGGTTCAAATCCAGGCTGGGACAAATACCAACAACCAGCATAAGTCATTAGGTAAAGCCCTTGGTGCTACGTACCACCTCATACCATGATGTACAAACTACTGGCTGCAGTTTCACCTGACTAAATAAGTTTTGATACAACAAAGGGTTTATTTATAAACAACATTGATATGCAAAATTAGAATTCTTTTTTGTAGATTAACAGATATTTAATGTGATTTCAATCACTGTAGATGTGTGTGTGTGTGTGTGTGTGTGTGTGTGTGTGTGTGTGTGTGTGTGTGTGTGTGTGCGCGCGCGCGTGCGTGTGTGTGCATGTGTGTGTGTGTGTGTGTGTGTGTGTGTGTGTGTGTGTGTGTGTGTGTGTTATGTCTTAATATTGCTGCCACATGATTAAAGCTTTATTTAACAGAGGAACAAAATCAAAGACTGAACAGAAAAGAAGACTCCCAACCAGTTTAGGTAAATGTTATTGTGACCTCTCACCAGCAGATCCCAGCAGCGTTAGACATCAGCATCCAGCAGACCTCAGGAAGAATATTAGTGTCATTACCTTCATACATTTCACATGAAGCTTTAAGCTTCCTACAAATTTAGCTCATTATTTTTATTATGTTTAACTTGTGTGTTACAGTAGAAATCACCATTATATGCTTATTAATCTCATTTAATGTCTTGTTTATGAGAACCACTTTAAATACAATAATACTGATATTACCACCCTGCAGGTATCAGACAAGGCTTTAATGAGTTCTTCAACACTTTCTGCATTTTGTTCAGATAAAGCCGTATTTTGCATCTTTTTCAGATGTTTAAACCATCATCTTGAGCCAGTATGTGCTAAAATGACCCTTTACAGAGTTAATGAAAGGCCACCCAGCCCCTATTGCCCTCTGAGACCAGAATATTCCACCTGCAACCTCAGCCTGGCAGTCTGCTCTGTTTGGACTTCTTGGTACTGCAGTCTGGTTCCTGCATGTTTCCTGCATGTTTTAGATCATGAACACAGCTGATTTTATTTTATTTGATTTGTTTTTTGATTTAGTGATGAATCACTCTTGTAGACACTACAGAAGGCTGAGGAGACATTTCAGATATAAAAAAGACGAATGCACAGCGAGGTGATGGCTTTAGGTGTTGGTTTTACAAATAGACTCTAGGGGGTGCTAAAAGCAAGCCAAAAACTGTCTAGTTACCCTTTAAATATAAAAATCCACAGACTTCATTTGTGAAGGTACTCACACACAGTACACAACATTTTTATGAAATATAGAATATTAGAATTATAGAGAATTACTAAGGAAAACTTCACTGGCAGCAGAAAGGACTAAATGGAGACAGATGGTTTGCTGTGGACACTTGAAGGGACAAGTCCAAAGATACAGAAGATATAGGATGATCAGTAGAGTAGTTGTTTTAAATTGTGGAAATTAGCTAAGTTGTTACTGATGTGCTAGCCATGCGCTCCACTCCGACCACAGGACTGCTTCCTGTTTCTAGAGACTCTGATCACTTTGGGTGACATTATCTGCAGGTAGGGTCTTTCCTGGTGACAAATAACTGATAGAAAATGATGCAAAATGACTGAAAATGAACTTTAAATGTATTCACTGTTTCCCCTCAGCTTCGTAATAGAAAAGCATGTCCTTTTCCTATATGATTTGACTCTGTTGGAAACTGGTGGGTCTACAAAAGAGAAATCAATTGTCATGTAATAAGAGCAAGTACACAAATAACAGTAGATGTGGGAGCCCTCTTCAGTCCTCCGAGGCTCTGAATCCACTCAGCCACAGACCGCTGGCCAGCTGATGCACTGACGTCCCCCCTGACAGTCACTCCATGTGAAGACAACTGAGAAATGATGTTTCCAATCGAGCACCAAATTGGAAATAGAGCAGGTAGAATATTGAAAGTATTGATTTAGAACATTGTGAAAGCAAAAGAGATGGCTTTTTTCTGAGCCTGTTTCCCTCAGAGAGACATGAAACGTCTCTGTCATCACAATGGGAATCAATACACATTCATAACCACATGCCCAATGTGAGTTTGGGATTGAGACGGAACAGTTTATTTGTCATGGTTCTGCTTTCTCCTCACTCTGTTTTGCTCCTGTAAGTTCTCTGCGGGTGGGCGTGTCGGAGAGTCACTGCTGTGGCTGATTTCCCATCAGCTTGGCCAGGGGGTTTAAGGAACGGTGTTGCCACACTTCAGTGCTGGTTGATACTCTCTCGTGGGGTAACCTCTAGCCATGTCCTGTCCTGTCAGATTACTTCTGAAATCATGTTTTAGACTTGTGCTCATGCTGCCTTCCTTGTCCACCACTGTACCTGTCCTGGATCCTCGTCGCTGTTCTCACCTTCCTGAAGTGTGTTGTCACCTCAACGTCGCTCAACTCCCCTGGCCGCCTGCTCTCCACCGCTCACCTGCCCTAGATCATCCACAACTACCAACTACTCTTCTCCACTGGACATTTCCCTGCACAGACCTGACTTGCCTCCCCCTTCAGTCATTATTCCAACTCAGTACCGTAAGACCACTCCATCTTCATTATTTAGTTTATTTCCCTGGTTCTCAGTTTTCTGTACTCATCCCATTTATTCTTCTGTTTTTAGAATCGGAGTAACACCCTGTCCCGTTTGGATCAGTGCCCTTAGTTAACCTTTAGTTTCCTTTTTAATAAACATTTTGTATTTTTCTTACCTTTCGTGTGTGATTTCTTTCATGTGGGTCAAGAAACTTCCACCCATCATGACGTTATTATGGCCAGATGATGTTGGATTGATGTTTTTATGACTGAAGCAGCTGTGTGACATCTGTATAAAGTGGTCCTGGTACTGGTTTTGGTATGGGGTTAGATGTTGGACTTCCCATTGCCTTCTGACAAGCCGCTCTGAAATTAAAACTGACCATTTAGTTTACATCTTTAACTAACAAATTTTACTCAATAGTTAGTTCTCCTCAATATACCTCATCAGTTGACTAACTAAACCTATAAAGTTGAAACAAATGTTTGTAGCGGTGCAATCACATGAATAATAAAGTAAATGTAGCTTTCTCAGTCTCTAAACCTTGGCTGAAGGTTTTGTAAGTAAGAAACTTTACTGGTAAAGAACATTTCACAGGATAAAAAACGTAAAGTGCTTCTCAATAATGTAAAACAGTGATCAACACGAGATGAAAACATAACACCATGAAAATTCTGTGTAAATAAACTTGTATTCAGCTGCTGTTAAATAGAACCAAGACAATAAGAGTAGAAGCAAGGCGTGGGGCCAACGAGTCTGAGAATGTACCAAGGGTCTTTGGTCGGATGGGCTCATGCTGCGAGAAGAAGGTGGAGTTCTAAAAGGTCACAGATTTAGGGAGGAGCATCACCTCGGAGTTTTAAAAGTCAGGACTGAAATTTGGAAAACAATTCTAAAATGCACCAGAAGCCAAAGAGAGCTCAGAAGGTGGGATGTGTTCTCGTTTCCGTATCTTTCTTAAAAACCTTACAGCAACATTTCTACACTGACTGAGGCCGTTTGTTTGGACCCAGACAGATAAAAGGCTCTTACAGTAATCTAAACAAGATTAAATGAAAGCATGAATGATCATTTCTAATTCCGCTTTTGACACCAACGTTCTTGGCTGAATAAACTGTTCCTGATTAGCTGTGGAGGGACATGGCCGCGTGTATACTAGCCCAGAGGTGTCTGAGGCTCGGCTGGACAAAGGAGCCCACGCAACCAAGGTGCTGTTTGATTCCAGATATTTGACCGTAGCAATAATGGATGTTTCAGACTTCTCTGAGTTTAGAGACAGGAAGTCGTCAGTGAGCCACCGTTCTGGCTGTTAAACATTTAGTTACAGAAGACAGCTTTTGAATTTCTGTTGGCTTAAAAGAGCCGTGGATCTAACATTTGATGTCTGCTCATTTTTAAAATCAAATTATGATGGCAAGTAAGCGCTTAAGTGGCAAAAGTTTTTTTTTAGGTTTTGTGTGAAAACATGCAGAGGACTCCACCTGCTTGTCTCGCTCAATAAATATCAACAAACTAGACACGAAGAGTTTAGTGAACTTCATATCCAAGTGAAAATTCACTAGTGAACTTCCCCTCTGTAGGATCAATAAAGTCTGCTCTGTTTTGTTTAGTGTTGTTTTGTTCTGTTTTATTTGAATTTCTATCCGTCCATTTTCATCCGCTTATCTGGAGATGCGCGTGTGGACGGAGGAGGAGTGTGAAACCCTGAGGGGATGCTTCAAATGTACAGACTGGTCTGTTTTTACTGAAGGATGTGACTGTGATGATGTTGATGACATTGCAGACAAAGTGACTTGCTATATTAATTTCTGTACTGTTTTGGCGCTGCCTTGTAAACAAGTTAAGGTTTTTGCTAATAATAAACCATGGGTGCCCAAAAAGGTTAAGGCAGCAATTAACAGGAAAAAGCTTGCTTTTCATAGTAGGGACCCAATGCAAATTAAGGTGGCACAAAGGGAGCTTAAAACACTGATCCGACGAAATAAACAGCAATATAAAGATACGATTGAAACCTCTATTGATGGTTCTAATTCTAAGTGTCTTTGGGACAGGATGAAAACCATGACTGGCTATGGTGGTAAGACAGGTTTACACAGCACTGGGATGGATGTGAATGAGATGAACCAGTTTTTTGCCAGATTTGATGATCATGATTTTACACACGAACACAACAAACTTAAATCGGCACTTGCCTCTGGTCAGGTTGAGAATGCATGCTCAGAGATTAGCTTTAGGGTTGAAGATGTCCAGCAGCAGTTTAGTTAGTCAGCTAACGCCTAACAAGGCAGCAGGCCCTGATGGTGTCCATCCACACACCCTTAAAGTTTGTGCAGAGCAGCTTGGACTCGTTTCATGTTGCCCTTGTCTGCTGCTAAAATACCTGTAATGTGAGAAACTTCTTGTCTTGTGCCGATCCCTAAGAAAACAGGTGTCAGCTGTACGTTGTCCAATCTTAGGCCTATTGCGTTGACATCACACTTAATGAAATGTTTTGAGAGAGTCGTCCTTAAATGCCTAAGAGAACAAGTTGTTTCCTTCCAAGACCCCCTTCAGCTTGCATATAGGAAGGGTGTGAGTGTGGATGATGCCCTTCTGTATCTGCTGGACATTATTTACAAACACCTTGAAAAAGCCAGCAGTTCAGTGCGACTTATACTCTTTGACTTTTCTAGTGATTTTAATACCATTCAGCCCCATATTTTAGGAAATAAGTTATTGAGTTTTAAGCTGAAGCTGCACAATTCCACCACTGCTTGGATTTTAGACTATCTCTTAAACAGGCCTCAGTTTGTGAGGGTTGGGGGTAAGTGCTCGGACTTGATTTTTACAAACTCTGGTGCACCACAGGGAACAGTTTTATCTCCTTTTTTATTTACACTGTGTACAGCTGACTATAGGCACAGTTTACCATCTTGTCACTTACAGAAGTTCTCCGATGACACTGCCCTACTGGGCCTGATCTCCCGGGGTGACGACCTGGCTTACAGGGAGGAAGTTAATTCCTTTGTTAGATGGTGTGATGTAAATTTTCTACAACTCAATGTTGGCAAAACACAAGAGTTAGTTACTGATTTTAGAAAGAAAAAACAAACATTCTCTCCAGCGGTCATCAAAGGCCAACCTGTAGAAACGGTGGAGACATATAAATATCTAGGGGTGTACCTCGACGATAAGTTAAACTGGAAAAGGATGCTGTTGTTAAAAAGGCCCAGTCCAGATTGTTATTTCTTAGGAAGCTAAGATCCTTTGATTTAAGTAGGAGGCTCTTGAATGTGTTTTATCAGGGGATTATGGTCAGTGTGTTGTTTTATGCTGTGTTGTGTTGGGGCAGGAGCCTCACTGCTGAGGACAAAAACTGGATCAACAACATTAAATATGGCTCAGTGGTTGGGCAAAGCTTGGACTCGTTTGACATGATCATCAACAAAAGGATGGAGAGTAAACTTAAGACAGTTATGTCTCTGGAGGATCACCCCCTTCACCAGATTTTTAAGGATCTCAGGAGCTCTTTTAATTGGGCGAATGTTAAGGCCCCATTGTTCCACTGAACGTTTTAGGAAATCTTTTATTCCTGCTGCAGTGCGTTTTTACAACGAGCATTTTGTATGATTGTACATTTGATATTTCTATCATGATTGTGGCTTATAGCAGTGTCCAGTGAATGTTCTGTTGCATGTGTGTGCATGTTGTTGTTTTTTTACTTGTCCAAGGCAATTCAATTTCCCCATTGGAGATTAATAAAGACAACCTTGAACCTTGGAGTTGGTCACGGGAGCAGTAGCCTAAGTCGAGAGGTCCAGACTTCCCTCTCCCCAGCCACTTGGGCCATCTCCCCCAGGGAAATCTCAAGACGTTCTCTAATTTTCCGCTGGGATTAATAAAGTATTTTTGAATTTGAACTCCTTGGCCAGGTGAGAGACATTGTCCCTCCAACGTGCCCTGGGTCTCTCTTTAGGCCTCCTCCTGGTTGGACGTGCCCGGAAAACCTCACCAGGGAGACATCCTGACCAGATGCCCGAGCCACCTCAACTGGCTCCTCTCAATGTGGAGGAGCAACAAATATACTCCAAGCCCCTCCCGGATGACCAAGCTTCTCACCCTATCTCTAAGGGAGAGCCCAGCCACTCTGTGGAGAAAACTCATTTTGGCCGCTTTTATCCGCGATCTCGTTCTACGTAGGAACGTAGATCGACCGGTAAATCGAGAGCTTCACCTTCTGACTCAGCTCTCTCTTCACCACAACAGACCGGTACAATGCCCGCATCACTGCAGATGCAGCACCAATCGCCTATCGATCTCACGCTCCAGGTTTCCCTCACTCATGAACAAGACCCCGAGATACTTAAAGTCCTCCACTTGGGGCAGGACCTCATCCCTGACCCAGAGAAGGCATTCTACCCTTTTCCGAATCAAGACCATGGTCTCAGATTTAGAGGAGCTGATTCTCATCCCAGCTGCCTCACACTCGGCTGCGAACTGCTCCAGCGAAAGCTGAAGATCATGTTCTGACGAAGCCAACAGGACCACATCATCTGCAAAAAGCAGATACCTGATCCTCAGGCCACCTAAACGGATGCCCTCCACACCTTGGCTGCACCTAGAAATCATGTCCATAAAGGTTATGAACAGAATCAGTGACAAAGGGCAGACTTGGTGGAGTCCGACTCTCACTGGGAATGAGCCCGACTTACTGCTGGCAATGTGGACCAAGCTCTGACACCGGTCATACGGGGACCTAATAACCCGTATCAGAGGGCCTGGTACCCCATAATCCCGGAGTACCCCCCACAGGGCCCCCCGAGGGACGCGGTCAAACGCCTTCTCCAAATCCACAAAACACATGTAGATTTGTTGGGCAAATTCCCACGCACTGTCCAGGATCCCCCAAAGAGTATAGAGCTGGTCCAGTGTTCCACAGCCAGGATGAAAACCACTTTGCTCCTCCTGAATCTGAGGTTTAAAAATCTGACGGACCCTCCTCTCCAGAGCCCCTGAATAGACCTTACCAGGAAGGCTCAGGACTGTGATCCACCTGTAGTTGGAATACACCCTGTGGTCCCTCTTTTTAAACAAGGGAACCACCACCCTGGTCTGCCAGTCCAGTGGGACTGCCCCAGATGTCCACGCGCTATTGCAGAGCCACGTCAGCCAACACAGCCCCACAACATCC